GAGGGCAGGGCCCGGGGGGCGCCCACCCCTCGGGGTGCCCGGGGCGAGCAGGGCGAGGCGGTGGGCGCGAGGCCGGCGGAGGGAGGGAGCCTGCGGGGCAGGAGGAGCGTGAACAACCCCCCGCAGTTCCAGCTGCCCAGCTACCAGGTGTCCATCCCCGAGAACGAGCCGGGCGGCACGCCGGTCATTGCCCTGCGGGCGCAGGACCCCGACGAGGGGGAGGCGGGCCGGCTGGCGTACTCCATGGAGGCGCTTTTTGATGAGCGCTCCAACGACTACTTCTCCATTGACCCGGAGACGGGCAGTGTGGCCACCACCCGCAGCCTGGACCGGGAAACCAAGGACACCCACGTGCTGAAAGTGACGGCGGCCGACCACGGGTCCCCCCGGCGCCGCTCGGCCACCACCTACTTGACCGTGACTGTGAGTGACACTAATGACCACGAGCCGGTGTTTGAGCAGCCTGAGTATCGGGAGAGCATCAGGGAGAACCTGGAGGTGGGTTATGAGGTGCTGACCATCCGTGCTACGGACGGCGATGCTCCAGCCAATGCCAACATGCTTTACCGCTTGCTTGAGCCAGGTGCTGGGGACAGTGTCTTTGAGATAGACCCGCGCTCTGGCGTAGTGAGGACCCGTGCCCTCATAGACCGTGAGGAGGTCTCCGAGTACCATCTGGTGGTGGAAGCTAATGACCAGGGCAAGGACCCGGGTCCTCGGAGTGCTACAGCGATGGTACACATCACCGTGGAGGATGAGAATGACAACTACCCACAGTTCAGTGAGAAGCGCTATTTGGTACAGGTGCCAGAGGATGCCCCAGTGAACACACAGATCCTGCAGGTGCAAGCAACAGATAGGGACCGGGGCAGCAATGCCCAAGTGCACTACAGCATTGTGAGTGGCAACCTCAAAGGCCAGTTCTACATCCACTCTTTCTCTGGCGCTATCGACCTGATCAACCCTCTGGATTATGAGACCATCCGTGAATACACGCTGAGGATCAAAGCCCAGGATGGGGGCAGACCTCCCTTAATCAACTCCAGTGGGATGGTGTCAGTGCAAGTGGTGGATGTGAATGATAATGCCCCCATCTTTGTCAGCACCCCCTTTCAAGCGACTGTGCTGGAGAATGTACCCTTGGGCTACTCTGTGCTACACATTCAGGCAGTGGATGCTGACTCTGGGGACAATGCCCGCCTGGAGTACAGACTTGTGGACTTGAACCCCACTCCTGGGGGAGTATCTGTAGGGGGGGCTGCTGGGTTCCCCTTCCAGATCAACAACAGCACTGGGTGGATCACAGTATCAGCTGAGCTGGACAGAGAGACTGTGGAGAACTATCACTTTGGGGTGGAGGCCAGGGACCATGGAGTTCCTGTCATGACTTCCTCAGCCAGTGTGGCTATCACAGTTCTGGATGTCAATGACAACAACCCTACCTTCACCGAGAAAGTCTATCACCTCAGGCTGAACGAGGATGCAGCAGTGGGCAGCAGTGTCCTGACACTGACTGCAGTGGACAGAGATGTCAACAGTGTGGTGACTTATCAGATCACAAGTGGCAATACCAGGAACCGTTTTGCAATCACCAGCCAGAGTGGGGGTGGGCTGATCACTTTGTCCTTGCCCCTGGATTACAAACAGGAGAGGCAGTATGTGCTGACTGTCACTGCTTCAGATGGTACACGCTTTGACACCGTCCAGGTCTTTATCAATGTCACGGATGCTAACACACACCGCCCAGTCTTCCAGAGCTCCCATTACACAGTGAGTGTCAGTGAGGACAAGCCTATTGGCACATCTATTGTGTCTATTAGTGCCACTGATGAAGACACGGGGGAAAATGCTAGGATAACATACATTTTGGAGGATAACATCCCCCAATTCCGCATTGACCCAGACGCAGGCACTATCACCACCCTGATGGAACTGGACTATGAGGACCAGGCCTCTTACACATTGGCAATTACAGCCCGAGACAACGGGATCCCTCAGAAATCTGATACCACCTACGTTGAGATTCTTATCTTGGATGCCAATGACAATGTGCCCCGCTTCCTTCGTGACCGGTACCAGGGCTCAGTCTTTGAGGATGTGCCACTCTCCACCAGTGTTTTGCAGCTGTCTGCCACTGACCGGGACTCAGGCCTCAATGGCCGCCTCCTTTATACCTTCCAGGGTGGTGATGATGGAGATGGAGACTTTTACATTGAGCCGACTTCTGGCGTGATACGCACCCAGCGCAAGCTGGATCGTGAGAATGTGGCTGTCTACAGCCTGCGAGCCTTTGCTGTGGACAGAGGCAGCCCACCCCTTAAAGCCTCTGTCGATGTTCAGGTTACTGTACTAGACATTAATGACAATCCACCTGTCTTTGAACAGGATGAATTTGACATCTTTGTGGAAGAAAACAGCCCTGTGGGGTCCATTGTGGCCCGGATCAGTGCAGCTGACCCAGATGAAGGAACCAATGCACAAATCATGTACCAGATTGTTGAGGGTAACATCCCTGAGGTCTTCCAGCTTGACCTCCTCAATGGAGACCTCACTGCCCTGATGGATCTGGATTATGAGAGCCGGACTGAGTATGTGATTGTGGTGCAAGCCACTTCAGCCCCCCTTGTCAGCCGAGCCACTGTGCACATTCGTCTCCTAGATCAGAATGATAACCCACCTGTGCTACAGGACTTCCAGATCCTCTTCAACAACTATGTGACCAACAAATCTAACAGCTTTCCCTCTGGGGTGATTGGCAAGATCCCAGCCCATGATCCTGATGTGTCTGACAGCCTCGTCTACACCTTTGTGCAGGGCAATGAGTTAAACCTGTTGATTCTGGACCCTGCCACTGGGGAACTTAAGCTCAGTCGAGATCTGGACAACAACAGACCCCTGGAAGCCCTCATGAAAGTGTCAGTCTCAGGTAAGCAGGCCTGGTGAAGGAGAATAATACATTAGAAATTGGTTTATTGGACCTACTATTGGTATAAGAAGAAATATGCAATATGTACCATAGCATACAACTTTTGATTTCATAGGCAGCACTTTAATTGTGAAGGGCTTGGAGAGAAATACAAAAAAATGTATAAAAGCTATGTACTGTTGACTAAAACAAAGAGTTGGTCAAAGTTATTTAGCAAATGTTGTTCACAAAAAAAAGGCATAAGGGGGATATAATTTCTTGAGCCTAGGTAGTTCTTTAGGTTAACACTTTAAGATCTGGATATACAGGGTTATCAAGGGACCTGATTTTCAAAGACAGGAAGAATGCACAAGTCTCATTGACTTATATTCAGTATTTAGACTAATCCTATGATCAGGTAAACCAGTGACACTGGAAAGTTTCCTTTCACAGAACTGGGCATGCTGTAAAGAAAAGTTGGTGTTTAGTGGGGGGGTTTTTTATCAGCAAGATATAGTCCATTTGCCTAGTGTCTGAGAGTGCTGGCTGATAAAATTCCAGATTTTAAGTTGGGGTCTCTGTTAGTGTGACATGGGCAAATTTCTGTTTAAGTTGGTGGAGTTATACCCATTTGAACCAGGAGAGAAATTTTGCCTTTTCCTCACACTGCTGGTAGCTATTTCTATGGAAAATGCTTATCTGAAACCAGCCAAGAATATCAATATAACATCATGAATGTTGGTAGGTGTAACTGAAGACAGAATTTTGTAGGAGTCTTCACCAAAAAACTTTCGCTTTGCCTTTTGTATTTTAGGCTTATAGAACTGAAAATATATATCTATATATCAGTATAAAATATTTGTGAATATCTGTTTTGATAACGGGTACACTGATTTTATCTGCTATATATATTTAAGTACAAAATTAAGTTGATGGTTTGTTGAGACATGTTTAAAAAAACTTGTAAGATGTTACCTTAGAAAACAACTCTGTTTTTTCCACTTATTTTCTTGTTGATCATGCAATTATTTTTTATCTCTATAATTATGGTGTCTAATCAGTAATTCAGTGACTAATCTCTTCCCCCAACTTCCACACTGGTGAATTCATCATAGGCCTAATCCAGAGCTTCCATGCTTCCAGTGTCCATAGCAAGTAACAGTCCTTCTGGATAATATTTGTGCTATTTTGTATGAAGCAGGAAGATGAAAATACTAGATGCCTGTAATGGTGTCTCTGGAGATGCTTTTTTTTTTCTTTTTTACTCATTTGTTCAAAAGATATTTAAATATGGCAGTCCTGGCAGCACTTACTACAAAAGAAATACTTCTGAGATATAGGAGACCTAACAGTAGTGGGCACTAATATTTGCAGGATTGGGCTCTTTATATTGCAGTTTAAATAAGCGATATTAATTTTAGTGACTAAAATTATTACTGCGTGCTATCTGTCAGGTGACTCACCAGAATATCTGCCTTGTAGCATTTTGCATGAAACGTAAGTTAGCTCTTAGTTGGTATTTCCACATCCTGTGAAAACTAACAGAAAAATGAGCATTTGGCCTGTAAAATTGAATAAGACATCTGGATTAGTATATAGATGATTTACATGGCAATCTTCAGCTGAGACTGACTGACAGAAAGCAGAAGTTCCTTATCTAAAAGCAGGAGATAAAGAAGTGGACACAGAAGAAGCCTGGAAATGTTATTTCAGTAGGCTAAGAGGGGAGAGCATACAGGATAGGAGTGGGTTACAACTAAGCATTCCCTTTGATAATGTCTTCATTCACCTCTGCAGATTTCAGTGGGTGAAATAGAGATACAGAAAAAAAGAATGAATGTTTGCTCCAATTACATTTCTGTTTTATGAGGTTGCAGGGTATAGGAATTTGACAATTAATACATGATTTTAACAGTGAATGATTATGTGAGACTTTTCTGTAGTATAGAACAAAGCTGGTTATCCCTATTGCAGCTGATATATTTGAAAGAATTTCCATCAGTTAACAATTCTTAAATGGTTTGGCAAGCAGTGAAGTCCATTTGATACCGTTTTAGAAAAGTCTTCTGTGTACGTGGGAAAAGATTGCTTCATATAAGAATTTAAGGGGCAGAAGCTTACAGAGCATGCAATTACATTTAGGAAACTCTCACCTCTCCACTTTCTCTGCTTATCTGATGCATTCTGTGACAAGTGAGATGTAGAGGTGAACTGGCTTGGACAGAAATACTCTACATGGCTATCTGTAGGTACTGTAAAAATAGCTGCAAATAGTCTGCTAAAATCACCAACTAGTAAACTGAAAAATATGTCTGTTGGGTAGTCATTAACCTAACTATCAGCCCAGATGGGCAGTCCTGATGCAAGCAAAACTCTTGTCAAAGTTGGTGGGAATTTGAACTGCATATGAACTCTGTTGGGACATAAAGATATGTCATTGCTGCTGTGAAAATCTTGTGTTCACCTACTCACAGGGGATATGTATGCAGTTTGTTGTTGTGGATTAAGTCTGTCAGAAATGATTGGTTTTAGCCAAACAGGAGGAGGCATACTATACAATTATATTAATTTGGCACTTTGACACATGGATAAAAGCATTCTTGTATTTGATCTTAGACTTCTTTGAATGAATATGTGTTTTATATTACAAACAAAAGACCAAAGTCACCTTAAAAAAATCTCTGGGGAAAAAACAGTAACGCGAACAATTGATTTAGTGAAATTTGATTTCTTTGGAAAGTGTAGTCATATTCATCTTTAATAGTGTGGCTATCTGCAGAAACTGTACAGGAGCTCTTGGCAAGAGTCCTGTAAGAAGGATTCTTCAGCCTGTGGATTTTCTTTTGCTGCTCTTGGAGAGAGATTCTGCATGGTCCGAGGTAGACACAGAGAGAGGAAGTGGATCAGAGGTGGGGTTGTGCAGTGGATGAGTTGTTCTACACTTCTGTGAAGAATTTGCTGGAAAGGCTTCTTTGTTGGTCTTCTGTGCTGTGGATCTTTTATTATCCAGGCAAGGGAACAGGGAGAGTTATGGATCACTGGATCCATGCAGTTTCAGCCTCACTTTGTTCTTCAGACTCATAGAGAGAAATCCTTTCTCAACACCCCTGAGATTGGTCAGCTGGAAAGTGTGCTGGAAAGTGTGCAAAGAGCACCTCTTGGACTTTTCCTTTCTCCTTTTGCCTTTGTTGTGGGGTTTTCCATGGGAAGGAGTAAACTGGATTTCCCTTCTCTGTATGTGGGATTGAGAGGGATAAATTTTTGAACAGCTGAAATCTTGGCTGTGTTGAAATTGATAGGAATTCTGCTATTGAATTCCAGGGGATCAGGATTTCATCCTGGACATCTTGTGTGGGTACTTGAGACTTTGATGGTAAATGAATCTGTAATTTCATCAAAATAAAAAAAAAGCAGTTATATTGTCTGGATTATATGACAGAAGCTGTTATTTCAGCAAGTATCATTTCTCTTTGCCTATGGCCATATGTAGTTACAGGGACACTGTTGACTTGAAATCTAGTATGCTTTTGACTAGTTATTTAGCTATAAAATGACTTAAAAGTAGTTCTAGATACAGTACCTGCCCTTGATTTTCCTTGCGCATCTTAGTGGTTTTTAATGACATTTTCTTGTTTTGAAAACAAACTCTCTCCCTTTTGTGCTATGGAGAAAAACTCTGAAACTGGCCCTGGCCACAGTTCTGAACAGAGGCCTTTTTTAAAGACTTGTGTAATTTTGTTAGGATTAGAAAACAGCAGAAAACACTAACATTGAGTAACAAGTAGCAAGTCTGTGAGTCTTCATCTGTGTGTTCTGATTAAAGTTTCTGCTTGTTGGTATTAGGCAGCTCTAGGTTCAAGAAATGGTATTTAACATTATTTCCCATGGTTCTGTCCTCCAGACAAAACAGGATTATCAATGAGGAAAAGTAGAGCGAATTACTAGTTAAACCAGTTAGGTGCCAGCAGTCATTGCTGCCAGTTGATACTTTTTCATTTTATGGTCAATTGGATTATATCAGATCTGTTTGGATAATCCCTTTCTTTAGAATTAATGCCAATTGTTATTTATTTGTTTGTTTGTTTGACGTTAAACATGACCAACTGTCATAGAAGCAAAGTGGAAACCACATCATCAGTTTGAGCAAACAAGACTAAGATGTCATAGAAAATGGGAAGTAAAATACCTGAAAATACTATTTGTAAATTAGAGGGACAATTATCTGACATCTTGTTTTACAAAAATTGTATTTCTAATCTTTTTTTAAGCCTGTTTGTCAATATTAGGATCCAGTCTTAAGAAGCCCAAGTGGCTTAGGCCCAGATTTTTTGAAGATATTTAGGTCATTATCTCCCATTGAAATCAGTGTTCCATAGTCAAGTGAAACATCCCATTGGCTTTATATGTCTAAATCCATTACCAAAAGTGACTTAGGCCAAAGTTGCATTGAAAATTTTACTTGAAGGGAATAGGTCTGTGAAAATTAGTTTCCTATTAGGTGTTTGGTATCATGGTATCTGCTAGACGGAGATAGACAGACTAGTAGTTGGCTGAGAAAACATAGGAAATAATTTATCTTTAAAGCCCTAAGCCCAAGATTTCTTTATATATAGCAGGGGTGCTCAACCTCTGGCCCACGGGGCAAATGTGGCCTACACAGCCTTGGAATCCAGCCCGCAGGGCTCTCCAATAGTGGGGAAATTTGGCAGTGGGGGAGCAGGGCCAGTTAATACTGCCACCTCTCCCCACTGCCAAAATCCTAAGCCCCTCATGGTGGATTGGAGCTGGACCTTGACTGTCTCCACTCACAGCCAGATCAGGGCCAGGCCATGCCCCCTTCTCTCTGCATGGCCAGGTTGGGGTGGGGCCATGTCCCCTCCTCCCCTGTAGGGCTGGGCTATGCCCACTTCTGTCCTGCCCCTCCAGGTTTGGGTCAGGCAACACACCTTTTCCCTTTTCTCCCATGGGGCGAGGCCACTGCCCATCCCCCTGTGCAGTTCTGTCCTGCCCCCCCCCTCCCC